CCTGCCATTCAATAAACTTAACCGCCTTAATTTTTTAAATGTTAGTACTGCTAGACTAGTTTACTTTAGTTACTTCCATAGTGTGTGCGTTATTATAGTATAATGTCCTATGGGATTCTCATGTGGGGTAAAGCGGCTGACATTCAAATCATATTTGTATTGAAAAAATGAGCGATTCCCTATGTGTACCGTTTAGGTTTTCGGGTTTCTCTCAGAGAAAACTTTAAAGAGACTGGTATCATGACTGTGGCATCACAGTACATTTACTCAAATATTTTATGTGCCCCTAAAAATATACATAATTTCTAAAAAAAAAAGATTTTTAAGAAAGAAGATATCCATAATATTAACCTTAGAGCTAAGCCCAAACTCATGGTACCACGATTTCGTTTAATTAAGTTAAACGACTCCTTTATGGGGAACTGTATACGTTTTTACATTAAGGTTCCGAAGCATATACATTAAGATTATCATTTCCTAAGTTTAAAAACTACATTAAAAATATGTTTATTGAAAAGTCACATTACGAATTGAAGACTACGTGTTACATAAAGATGTATGAAAAGACGACATGGCTCCAGAATCCACACAAATTTGATTCAAAGTGTATTCCATAGCATTTAAGTTTATTTGAACAGAGCAATCCCTAGAGTTTCCAGCTCGTTCTTCTCAGGGAAGTCAGCGTGGTGAACGAGCAGTAGCTTAAATGTGACGTTTTCAAGTGTAAATTTATTGTACATATGGAATAAATGATCCTTTGACTTTGTCGACCTCATTGTCCTTTTCATGGTGAGTTGAAATTTCAATGTGCACTTATTATAACCATTTTTTAAACTATTTTTTTATGATATTTTGTGAACCGATTTTGATGATTCATTTTTTTTATGGGGAAAAAGAAAACGTCAGTAGTGGTCTCATATAAATTTGAAGAAAATATTTCACCTCTAAGGGTGGCAAACTAGGGAATAAATGACTTATAAGGTCGGTTTTTTTATACTTTGTACTGAGTATATTACAAAATAAAATGAAACTAACTATTGAATAACCTAATGCACAACAGATGGACTTATTGATCTGCTGCGATTTCTTCCAGGTTCATTTACAGTGAACAATTTCGTAACGCAAAACTAAATACCAATTACACTCAATATTAAAACACAAACATCCTCCAGAAAAGTCGCCGTCCAAACGGCCGTGGGAACCTCATAATAATTTTGATGAAATCTTTTAGCCGGCCTATTTACTTTCGTCATCGCTTTAGGCACAGTATAAGACATTAAACATTCAAACTGCGGAACACGAGTCATTGTTATATAAAACTACGTAATGTAGAAATCTAGGTAATTCTTTACAGCTTTATCTAGTGTGAATACGAAAATAGTGGAATCATTGACTTTATTATTAAATGCAGAGAAATTGTAGATAAAAATAACACACTAATGCGGAAATATTTCGTAATTTAATTATTTTTTGAAATGCTAAGCTACATACAACGAAATATGCTCATAGATATACAGGTCTGCTACCTGGCTCCTTGTGAAAGAGTTCGTCCTTAACTGTTGCATTGTCACTCAGAAGATAATTTCCAGACACATGATAGACATAAACCAGCACCCGTACCCTTCAAACCCAGAACGCAGTAATCTTTTGTTAAATTGCAGCTAATTTAATTTTATAAGAGACGTAATGTTATAAGACACGATATGAAGTCTGTAGAATATTTTTTAAAGAAAATACAAATGTCGTATCTACAAACTTATAACATCATTCCCATATGTTATTAAAAGTACCGGATGAACACAAAATGCCCATTAGCTATATAAAGGAAAACATATACATAAATAATACGCCAATAAATTTCGTAATGAAATTGCTAATTGCACTACATTTCTACTTAAATATTGGAAAAAAGGTTTTTTTTCATTCATGATACCAAGTGAGTTGACAAACAAGCCGTACGCCTGGTGGTAAGCGACATACCTATCCATAACAGTTGCAGTGCCATTCAGAACTTTAAACCTCAAAGGTCGGCGATTAACACACCGCACCGTGTTTTTTAACGTTGTACGGAAGTACCTCTGTTTGTATGGAAAAACGCGCCGTCGAACACACTGACAACGCTTCTCCACGAGGGAGGGCGGCGCATGCTGTTTCCCCGCGGCCCGAACCGTATGGTACGCTAATTTATGTCTATTCCAGTAATTATCGTTCGGATTTTCCCTAATAAATAATGAAAGAATTCAGTTTGACATACGTGTGTAGTTGAAAAATTAATATTCATATTTTTTTTAATCCTTGTAATGAAGTTGAATTTTATCTTTGGTGTCTTTTTATTTGTACAAACAAAAACCAAATCGACAGCATAACTGCAGCGTCGTGAATGAGTTCTGTATTATTAACCATTCTTGTCAAAGAAGGATCTCAGTACAATCACTACGGCGATCAACTACGAAGCGAGTACTTCAAGAGGCGCGGGGCCGCTAGACCGCTGGCCCCGCGCAGATTAAACCGCGCGTTGACGCAGATCTGCGGCACCGCGCGCGGAGGTCGGTGCAGTATGTTAGTCGCCTAAGGGCACTGCCACTGCGCCCATTACCCTGAGACATAAGTTGACAAGTTCCATGTGCCTGTAATTGCCAGAACCCTTACCCTTCTAAGTCGAAACGCAGTAATGCTCACATTACTGCTTGGCGTCAGAAATCGGTAAGGTGGCAGTACTTCTCTGGACGAGCTCTTTCACAACTGCTACTAAACATTTTGGGATTTTACACTATTTTATTTATTTCACTAAAAATATTGGGGATTTCATACGTTATCCGACAGTTATGTATCTTCTTCGACGTATATACAGGTCGCATCACGATGTATTCCTTCATCGAAGAGCTCGTGATAAATTTAAAATTATATTTCGCACATAAATATTTTTAAATTTAGTAGCAGAAGAGTTAATTGTGAAAGAGTTCGTCCAGGGTAGTACTGCCGTATTACCTATTTCTGCCGCCAAGCAGTAATGT